ACACACTTTCTCTGACAAGAGAATATCCTTGCAGCATGAGCAGAATGACCCCAAATGAGTATACCATAAGAAAAATTACTGTGAATTGTGTCAAAATCAGCAGTTACAAGAACATTTTGAGAAACAACACAATAAAGCTTTCGGAACAGAAATAATTTAGTTGCCAATTTTTTTAACAAATGATCACCATGAACCTCCCAAGTCAATTTACCATCAAGATGGAAACCAATTTTACATTATCATTTTCATTAATCTCACTTGAAAGTGAAAAAAGTAAATGTTGCGTTTTGGCTTTATTGGTTAACAATTTGTTTTCTGAAAACCAATTACTAATTACTGGTTCGGCTTTACTTGACGTTTCATCCTATCTTTCCCAGACATTAAGACTGACGTATCGTCTGCAATTAAACAAATTTACCATCTAAAATTAGATTTGAAATGTTGTTAATGTACACCAAAAATAAAAATGGCCCAAGCACTGACCCTGGCGGCACTCCTGCAACTAATTTTTGCTTAAACGACGCTGAATTATTGAAACATACATATTGTTGTCTATATTATAAAATTTAAATAAACCTAATTTTCTTACAGAACGATGTGTTATTTCCTTTGTTACTATATTTATTTTGGAAGTCATAAATGTCATACAAAGACCAGTATGATCCAGTATTGTAGACTGTTGCTAAACATTTATCTGTGGACAAGTTTGTAAAGATATTATCGAGGCAGTTTTTGCCTCGAGTTGAGGAAGTATTAATTTGTTTTTAATCAAACGACCTTAGGAGGTATCTTAGACATTGCACATATTTATTATTGAAATTAAAGTAAGTATTAAAGTCACCAGAAACAATAATTAGTGCATTTTTTACACATTTCAGTTAATAATAATTCTAATTGTAGGAGAAATATGTCGATTAGTGGATCCGTGGAGAGAAATTATGTTAAAATTTCTAAATTTACTAGTCGCAAATTCAGTATGAATTTCATTGCAATATCTTTCGACTTTTAGAGTTTTCCATAAAGGTAGAAGAGAGTTATGATTGTCTTTCAACCAGGGCTCATTGATACACAGAAAGTCAAACGGTTGATCAGCCTGTAGAATTGTGTTCGCTTGAAGAATTAAAATGTTAATGTTAATCAAATTAAAAATTTCTCAAACTTTCCTCGCCTCAAAATATAAGGAATTTTGCTTTTCACGGTTTTGAAATTCCTAGTGATTCATTTTTTACAGAATTTAAAGAAGTGTGGGGGCACTCGATGTATTTTGAAACAGATTAAAAGAACATTGGTGGCTCATATTGTTTTTTTTTAAGAAATCCAAAGTGCGAAATAAAATTTTACAGAGATTCTTTTAGCAACTACTAAACCAATTTTTGAAATTTAGCACTTGTTTTGAGGTGAACATCATATAGATCACCAAAACATCGATGAGATTATCTAAAAATATGCTAAGTAAAACCAATCTAAAATATCAACTTCATCTGTGAGGGAAGTGCTGTCTGAACAATTTCAAGTTAATTTTTTTACCTTACGTCATGATTCGGTCACAATAAAGAGCCGTAAAGTTGTTAGCTTTCGAAATATTTTCCCTTTTTTTGCATAGTTTCAAGTAAGTAAGTTGGAAAAAGATATGCGGTATTTTCAATGGTTTATGGAATTTGTTAGTTTTTTTTGGCTTAAATTCCTTCGGATTGGTAATGGTCTACGCGTGAGGAAGAAAATAACTGATTGTGCTTATACCTTTATTGTATGTAAGCTCTAGATCCAGTTAAAATGTTGTTCAGGACCTTAACAAGCTAGTAATATAAAAAAAACTAACATTTACGTCCTTATTCATGTTTGTCCCGGCGCATCCACCAATTTTATAACACCAATTTTTGAAAAATTATAATGAAGATAAGATTTCGAAAGAATCGCAAATTGATTTTTTTTATTTTTTTCGTAGTTATTTTATAAAAAGAACTTTCAAGGAACGCTAAAACACTATTCAAAAATGAGAAAAAAATTTCTATTACTGCGTCGTTGTGTACCCATGGATTATTAAGATAAAGGCAACTCCCACCAATTTTCATTTTAATTTTTAATGAGTTGATTCCACATTACATTGAATATCGAGTTAGTAATTTCTTGTGGAGAGCAAAATATGTACCTATACTCTGCAATAAAAGTTTATCATATATGATTATTTCGGCATCCATATGTGGTAATTTTCGAAAGCCAGTATGTACAATCTTGGAACTCAACGAATTACATATTTCGATTTTTTGTGCACCTGCATAAACTAACCTACTTATTGGTTGGTTCATAACATAAATAACACAAATCGTAGGAGTGATAAGAACATCGCAAGGAATAAATTTCCTTTTAAGAAATTGACTTTCGTCTTGTGTACATGTTATACTCTAATTGTAATTTTACTCCATTCAAACACAAAACAAATAAAGGTAGGAAACTTCTTACTTATCACTGGCCATACAACATAGTCAAATTATATTTTCAGCTGAGGTTAAAACAGTTAAGAATAAGCATGAATAATAGAGCAGCACACTATGACTGGAAAGGCAATTTTGACATCAACGTACGCTTCTTAAGAAAAATGGGTTTATGGCCAGAGGGCGAAGGAACTTATAAACCAGGTCTCTACGCACTTTATGCCGCATTCATGGTAACTTTATTGCCCACAAGCCACATTTTATCAGAACTTATTGATATTTACTTCGTCCGTGATAACCTGGAAGCTGTGGTAGGAATAATCTACGTAACTCTCATAGAAATAAGGGCATGGATTAAAGTTTACTTCGTCATAACGAGGATCCAAGTCCTTAAAGAACGAATGGAAAATTTAAAAGCTGACTGGTTTCAGCCAAAAGATCGGGACCAACTTTTGATGATCGAACCGAGTATCAATTTTTGGAAAGTTGTTTACAAGATACTGTTAGTGGCTTGTTTCGCTTGTAACTTTTTTTGGTTGATACCACTTCTAACCCGGCGCAGTGGCGATAAAAATTTATCTTTTCTGGTTTGGTATCCATTTGATTGCAGCAAATCACCGTATTTTGACATAATGTACGTTTATCAAATTTGCAGCACTAGTTATTGTGTGGTTCACACCAATGTGGACACTTTCATATCTGGTTTCAATGTATATATTGGTTGTCAGTTAGATATGTTGAGCGATAATCTGAGAGACATGGAAAAGTGTGGCAACGGCAAATTTAATGTTGGAGATGATTTGATAAACTGTATTATCTACCATAAACAAATTTTTAGGTACGTTGATTAAAATTTATGTATTTGTTACTAACATCGTTTTTAGTTTTATTGATGGTTGTAACCAGTTCTTCAATGTAATTCTTTTTTGGCATTTGAATATCAGTGGGGTCACGATTGGGATAACAATGTTTCAACTAACTTTAGTAAGTATAACTGAAATGAACACCGGTAGAAATGAATTTTTATTGTTAAACTGTTTCAGGTGAAGCCAATGTCCAGCGAATTTTTTTCAATTCTTTGGTATGGTTTTTCGATAACTGTACAAATTTTTATGTACTGCTGGTTTGGAAATGAAGTGGAAGTCAAGGTAAGAAAAATTATGCTACGTAACACAACTCATCCCACTTTTAGAGCAACCCCGTCTCCTACACAGCCTTTGAATCTGACTGGACAGACTTACCCGAAGATGTAAAGAAAAATTTGATAATTTTTATAACCAACGTTCCCGAGCCTGTAAGAATTTCGGCTTTCAATCTGCTGCAACTGTTGTTGGATACTTTTACAAGGGTATGTTAATTTTCAAGTTTGTTGTTGGTTTCTTGTCAATATTTTTTTACTAGATTCTCAAAACGGCGTGGTCTTACTTTGCTCTGCTGACTCAGCTAACTACAACGTAATTAGGGATGAAAACGAGCCGTGCTAACCCGTAACCATACGAATATTTTTTTAATTGAATTATTTTGAATGCATAAGAAAAATAAAGCTTTTGAATTTGGACAAATATTTTAATTCAGATAAATTCGCCCGGCGCATCCATCAAATTTCAAGTTTAGAACTTGTTTTAAAACAATAGTTTTTTAATTTGTTAAATAAAAGATAAAGAGTATAAGCCTATAATTAGTTAGAAAAAATGCCCCCTAATTTTTAAAGTTGTTTTCAGTTCAGGGAGACATTCTTTGTTAGGTAGTAGGGTGTTCACCAATTCTTTAAGTGTCACTCCAGTACAAAAAAAATCTGGAAATATTCACTTTCATTAATCGGTAAAAAAAAAATCCGGAAAAAGTAAGTATAAATATCTAATCTATTTGTTTTTGATTTTCAGACTAAACGTGAGAATTATTTTCTCTTATCATTTTGCACATCATCATGAGGAACGTGCATTTGTGGCCAAAAAGTAGCCAAATTTGCAAACAAATATTCTGTATGGTGTGGTGTGGTCTCGCAGTGATCATATTTGTGGTGTGCCATATTAATAATGACACAATTTTTTACAACTTAGGTCCTATTGTGGAAATTGTGCACATAATTTTGACAAAATGTGTAGCAATGTGCAAATCTTGTTACATCAAAAAATGTGTGAAAGGAAAAATTAAGGTCAAAAGTAAGTTTTATCATTATCATGTTACATATTAAGCGGAATTGTAATCTGCCTTTCAGGTTTTTGGAAGTTTGTCGGTTTTGAAGAAAATATCAGATGAAAATAAATTAAGAAAAAATAATAAAATTGTTTTGTACTGTTCGTTAAATTTATATTTAGCGCTATTATAGTGGTAAAATAAATTGTTGGTGTTCCAAATTTTCTCATTACAAAACGCCTACAGTGTAGATTTTAAGAGCACGCGCAAAAATACTTGTCGATTTGTTTGAACTTATATAAGGTGACGACTGAACATTAAGTTATAGATACATGAGGTAAGTACCTATTGTTAACTATTAATTATTTAGGGCTTTTTCTTTCATAACTAGGTGTGTTACTTCCTAATAATTAAAAGGCAACAACTAGAAACATGGATGGCCAAGAATCATGGTTCGACTGGAATGCTATTTTCAATCCAAATTTACGCGTGATGAGAAAATTGGGTCTATGGCCAGAGGGTAAACAGTCCTATAAACTAGACCTTTACACGCTTTATGCCACCTTAATGGTAATATTGTTCGCCGCCTACCCCACATTTTCAGAATACGTCGCTATCTACTACGTCAAAGACTTGCAGTCGGTAGTTGCAATTATATTCGTATCTTTATTCGACCTTATGGGGCCCATTAAAATTTACTTCATCATAAGAAAAACGTCCGTGATAAAAAAGTGCATGGAAAACTTCAAATCGGAGTGGTTTCAGCCCAAAAATCGAGTGCAGAAAATCAGAATAGAAGAAAATTTCAAGCTGTGGAAGTTTGTGTTTAAATTGTTGTACACCTCTTGCTTTTCGTTGATCTTTTTCTCCTTCTTGCCGCTCGTTCTAGGCGAAAGAGAAAAAACGCCATATGTAATGTGGCTTCCGTTCAGTTTTGACAGGTCGCCGTATTTTGAGTTGGTTTATTTTTATCAAATTTTCTGCGCTATTTATCTTTGTCTGGTCCATGTGAGCGTGGACACTACGATATTCGGGTTGAAGGTCTGCATCGGGTGCCAGTTTGACATGTTAAGTGATAACTTGAGGCGATTCGCCAGCGTAGCTGATAGTAGTCGGAAGTGTACTGCTTTAGAGAATTTTAAAAACTGTGCAATTCAACATAGGGAAATTTTAAAGTAAGTGGAGAGGACACAATTTCTTTTTATTTTACTTTTTTTTCAGGTTTCTTGAAAACTGTAAACAGTTTTTTGATATAATTCTGTTTTGGCACTTGATTATTAGCGGGATTTCGATTGGAATAACAATGTTTCGACTTACTTTAGTACGCATGGGTTTTTGTGGAGGTTTTATTTAACCTAATTTATTTTAGCTGGAACCATTGTCAAACGAGTTCTTGTCTATTATGTGGTACGGAATTGCCATCACTTCGGAAATATCCATGTACTGTTGGTTTGGAAATGAAGTTGAAGTTAAGGTAACAACAAAAGTTACTTTGATTTTTTAATTCCTTTTCTCTCAAGATATAAAATAGATAAACTATATTGTTATATGTATGTTTTTTTAATTTTTAGAGCAACCTCGTCTCCTACGCAGCTTTTGAATCTAACTGGACAAGTTTACCAAATGATATCAAACGAAGTCTTATGCTATTTACCCAAAGCTTGACAAAACCTGTAAAAATATCAGTTTTTAATTTATTTACTCTTTCCTTGGAAACATTTAAACGAGTAAGAAAATCTTATTTTATGGTATGGTCAATGAATATCTTTTTCAGATTATGAAAACAGCATGGTCATATTTTGCTCTACTTACACAGTTAAATAGTACTCAACTGAATTAATTGGAAGATGAACGTTGAAATAGGTTTTGGTAGCAACTTATGAGTTTCACTGACTTTATGTAGTTTCCAACAATTAAATAAACACAAATGTTAAATAGATTATTATTAGTCTTAATAGTGTTTTATTGTTTTGACACGAGTAATTAAAAGATTATTGTCATCCTAGGATTCAAACTTTTTTATTGCTCTGACTTCCGCTTATTGAATAAAACACTAGATTGTATTTTGATTTTCGATGTAGTAATTCACATTTGATTAATTATAACTTGTTTAGGCTCAGCATTCCCTAGCCTCTCTCTAGTTACGGCCTTGTTTAGGGGTTATTAAATATCGAGAAAATATGAAAATATTTTATTTTTAAAAAATATGAATGCAATGATGAATCACAAGTAAAAACTAATCATATTTTGCATATTTTGGGAAGAATTTATACGGCAAAATTTTGACATAAAGTTATTAATTTTTTGGGGGGAATAATACAGATCTATTTTGATTAACAATTTACAACTATAGATTTTCTGAACTGCCTAGCTACTGTAAGCTCTTTAAAGTGTTTGGATTCTAAACGAATTAAATAATCTAGATTCTCTAGCCCGTCTATAAATTTTAAACGTTAGTTATACTTTGTTGAAATTTCAAGCTCTTCAGGTTCTTTAAGCTATCTAAAATTACTATGGTCTATATGTTTTGTAGGATGTCTAGATACCCTAGATTGTCTTTAATCATTAGGCCCTCCAGATTCTATAGATGCCCTGGACTCTAGGGTTTCTAGGTACTAAATAAGGGGTCTATGTTCTCCAGACAAGAATCCTCTGTGGATTCTCCAGGCCAGAAGGTTAATGGAATGAATGATTTCTTTTCAAATTCGTGAGCTATTTACCTGTATGTAACTCGGTTAAAATTTTTAAATAAAATTTCCTTTTTAATTGTTTAAAACCATTTTAAATACTTTTCGATATCAACATCAGAACAATTTTCATAGTTTTATATGGGCATTTCATGATTTAGATTTTTAGTTTCTAAGATTAAATGGGAAGGAAGTGAAGTTGACGTTTAACTATAATTCGGAATTCTAATCAGTTGGTGATTCTAATCAGTTTCGTGATTTCAAATTTATCAATTTCCAAACTTTAGAAAAATATCGGACAAAATAAATCTTTCCTTAAAAAAATTCTACGATAGTCCAGAAGACGTTGGAAATGAGCAGATTTTTGATTCTGAGAAAATATTCTACAAGAGTTACCTATTTCAAGATAGGTAGAAATTTTACCAAGATATCGGACAACTTCAATAAGGGTTTGATTGAATGCGTTTTACATCATAAAATAATTTTAAGGTAGGTTAAAATGATTTAATAGATTTATTTAATACTGAAATTGTCAATTTTAGTTTTGTTGAAGGCTGTAAATTTTTTAATTGGATATTTGTTTGCCACCTGATTATAAATGGAGTGGCTATTGGAATAACTATGTTTCAGCTAACCATGGTACTCGTAATTTAAATAGAGATATGGTATTTTTTTTTGTAAATAATCTATTTAAGTGGTGCCATTTTCTAGTGAATTTTATACACTTGTTACGTATGGATTTGCCATTACTATTCAGATTTACATGTATTGTTGGTATGGTAATGAAGTAGAATTAACGGTGAGTGTACCAAAAAAATAGTCGAACTATATCGACTAAAACCTACATGATTTAGAACTTTAATCGAGTTTTTTCTAGAGCGACCTGGTTTCATACCCAGCATTTGAGTCAGACTGGACTGAATTACCCGAAGATGTAAAAAAGAATTTATTCATTTTTGTCTAAAATGTTATTGAACCGATCAAGGTATCCGCTTTCAAAGTTTTTTACCTTTCTTTACACACATTTTGCTCTTCTGCACCAACTTAGTTCAAGAAATAAGTAACTTTAGGTTGTAAATTTATCTTACTTTGAAACTTTTCGAACTAAAATGTATATGTAGGTTAATGTATGTAAATGTATTTCTTGAATCCATTTGTTGCTATTTATGTGTAGGGGCAAGTGGTACGAGATGGGACGTAAAAAAACTTTTCTTCATAATTTTGGCAAATTTAGATTTTTTCAAATCATATATTGTTTTACTGTTAGGTAAACGGTGTCGGGTAATGTAATCAACCCCCAAAACTTAAAAAACAAATTTTTTAACGTAAAAAAAAAAGTTGTATCACTATGTACCATTTGTCCCATAATAAACCACCGGGTGGTATACAGTGGGAAACGACAGTGTATATACTGGGACTATTCAAACGCAACTCATTATGAACAAATCTACTCACACAAAAAGTTTATAAGAATAATATATATTTTTAGTAATGTACAAAGAACATATAAGTTACAAAAGGTTGTATTGATTAAGATCTAAATTGAACGAAAGTTGTCGGATCGATCTCTGCGTCGCACCGGACACAAATGGTTTGGGCAATTTTAGAATTATGTTTTCCTTGTCAACGAAGTCTTCGTCATCTTTGTCAGGGAAAACAAATTTAGAACCAAGTAATTTTTTTAAAAATCTTACTTCAAACTCCTGATTTCGTATTGCCTTTACTTGTCCAATGTAGTGCCGAACAGTCTTTTTTCTAGCATATTTAACCAAAATGTAATCTTCTACCGAAACTTCATCTAAATTGTTATTGAAATCTTCTTCTTCTGTAAAACTCTCCATGTCTGTAGAATCATCCGCAAACTCCTATTTATTCACGTCTTCAGTATCTGAACTTTCCTCAAATACCTTCTTCTTTACCTTATTAGGTTGCAACTTCTTCGTTTGTTTTAATAATCTCATTCGATGTTCCTCTTCAATTTTCTTTTTAACTGGCGTATCAGTTAAAATTGTTGACTGCGCTTTCTTTCTGCCTTTTCTTGTATTCTTTCTAGTAACTTTCCCAACTTGTCGTTGAGCAGATGATGCTAGTATTTTAGGGGGTCTGTGTACAGTTGTAATACCTGTTTCATCACAACTGAAGATTTGTGTTGGTTGAAAGTTAAATTTGTCCAACACTTCCCGTAAATTGGTAAAAAATTGCCCAACATTATGTTTATTGAAACTAGTCGCTCTACTCAAACTAGTCGCCTCTGGAGTACGAAGTGCAAGATCGGGATTTCGTTTTTGAAAACAGTGAGCCCATTCCACTCCAGCCGTTTGATTTTTTTCCCATGATTGTGGCACATTTTTTCCATTTGCTATGGCAAATCTATAGGCCAATTCCCGAGTTGATTTGAGTGTCAAACCATAGCACATTTGCGCAGCTTCAATCAAATATTGTTTTAGAAGAGTTTCTTCCTCCGTAGTAAAAACGCATTTGAAACCATGTTCTCGGGAAAAATTAAATCTCTCCTTGTCTTCATCTTCCAAACTTTTATATTTCGTAATTTTCCTAAGAAAGAGCGGATTTACTAACTTCATACTGGTCTGCTGCTTCTCGTATAGTCATATTTCTTGAAATAACCTCATGGTCGGCATTACGTATTTTCTCTCTGCTTTCTCGTAGACGCAATTGACTTTCGAGAAACCTTTTTGTCATACTTCTCCTTGCATATTTGGGCATATTGGACTCCTACCAACATTTTTTTTTCAGAGTTATATATGATACAACGCTTAAGTTAAGTATAATTGTCCCACTATATACCAGACTGTCCCAGTAAATACCGTCATGCATAAATGAAAATCATGTACGATTTTATTAAAGTGATAGGGTTCTTATGGATTGCAACACATGCACTAGCTTAGATTCATGTTTTTGAGGTTATGGCGAGAAATTGCAAGAATTTCATGTATATTGAACAAAAATACGCCCATCAACATGTTTCTCGTAACCACACACAGAACAGTTCTTACCGAAATCAGTTGGTGTATCACAGAAATACTTTTAAATGGCAACCACTGCGTTATCACCCACGTTTACTAGGATGTTGTAGAACTGAATTTTAAAATTCTAGTTGCACTGCTTCAATTAAATTTTGTGTTATACAGGAAATCTCACTATGTACCGCGTGCCACTATGTACCACTTGCCCCTATCTAATATGGTTGAAATGTTTAAATAAAATTTTTGTTTCCTTTCAAGCTGTTTTCTTTTTCTCACCCCATTTTTAATTATTTCAGGGATTTGTAAGAAACTTGAAGAAAAATTAGATGTGCTAGAAGAAATCATGAACGAAAGTATTTCCATTTATTTATCAAATTTTGGCGTAATTTGTATCGTATGACTGAAAATTGTATTATTTTTGGGTAAAGTGTGTAGAGGATCTATTGTGACTTATTTTAAAAAAAGTTATATTATTTTGCTGAAATGAAGAAATATTGTGCTCAAAATGAACAAAAAAATATACATCTAAACGTTTTTGCTTGACACTTTTATGATGTGCATGACAGACACGTTCTTAAAAAATATGAAGAAAATATTACCAAATGGTTGTCCACAATCTTCTCTGCACCCGAGTCCACCAATAACCCTAACACACTTTCTCTGACAAGAGAATATCCTTGCAGCATGAGCAGAATGACCCCAAATGAGTATACCATAAGAAATGTTGCTATGAATTGTGCTAAAATAAGCAGTTACAAGAACATTTTGACAGACAACACTATAAAGCTTTCGGAACAGAAATAATTTAGTGCCAATTTTTTTAACATATGATCAACATGAATCTCCCAAGTCAATTTCCCTTCAAGATGGAAACCAAGAAATTTTACATTATCATTTTCATTAATCTCACTTGAAACTAAAAAAAGTAAATGTTGCGTTTTGTCTTTATTGGCTAACAATTTCTTTTCTGAAAACCAATTACTAATTATTGTTTCGGTTTTACTTGACGTTTCATTCTATCTTTCCCAGACATTAAGACTGACGTATCGTCTGCAATAAAACAAATTTACCATCTAAAATTAGATTTGAAATGATGTTAATGTACACCACGAATAAAAATGGCCCAAGCACTGATCCCTGCGGCACTCCTGCAAATAATTTTTGCTTAAACGACGCTGAATTATTGAAACATACATATTGTTGTCTATCAGTCAAATAGGATTTAATCAATTTTAAAGTGTTTTCACAACGCAGAAAATATTTTAACTTGTATAACAATATATCATCACAAACAGTATCAAATTCTTTTTGCAAATGAAATACACTTAATAAAGAATTTTGTTTTTGTTCAAAAGCCCTTAGTATCTCCGAGCATAAAGAATGTATAGCTAAAGTTGTTGATCTTTTATTGCTGAAACCAAATTGTGAATAATTGAAGAGTGATAAACTTTCAAAAAATTTGCTTAACTGATTTTTCATTCTCGTTTCAAATATTTTACCAAGTATTGGAACCAATGAGGTGGGGCGGTACTTTTTTGTAGAATGATATTAATTTCCAATTATTAATATACTTAATTGTCATTGTAACATTTTTTCCTTTAGCTGATTTTTTGCATATACTTTTTTGATGTCTAAGATAAGCTGCACTGATTTGATTTTGGTTAGCAAGTTCACAATAGAATTTAACCTTTTCCTGTTCATTTTTGTTGTTTGTGGTTCTAAATGTTTTTAAAAGGAAACAACTTTCAACTGCACTTAAAATTTTTTCGTAAAAAGTGTCAAACTTCTCTTGGTAGTTTAAAGTATTATTATCTACAAAGTCCTAATTTACTTGTTCCATATGATTATAAAATTTAAATAGACCTAATTGTGTTACAGGACGATGTGTTATTTCCTTTTTTACTATATTTACTTTGGAAGTCATAAATGTCATGCAAAGACTAGCATGATCCAGTATTGTAAACTGTTGCTAAATATTTATCAGTGGACAAGTTTGTGAAAATATTGTCCAGGCAGTTTTTGCCTCGAGTTGAGGAAGTAATAATTTCTTTTAAATCAAACGACCTTAGGAGGTATCTTAGACATTGCACATATTTATTATTGAAATTAAAGTAAGTATTAAAGTCACCAAAAACAATAACTAGTTATTTTTTTTAGACATTTCAGTTAATAATAATAATTCTAATTGTAAGAGAGATATGTCGAAACTACAATTAGTGGATCTGTAGAGAGAAATTATGTTTAAATTTCTAAATTGAATAACGGCAAATTCAGCATGACTTTCATTGCAATATCTTTCGACTTTTAGAGTTTTACATAAAGGTAGAAGAGAGTCATGATTCTCTTTCAACCAGTGCTCACTGATACACAGAATGTCAAACGGTTGATAAGCCTGTAGAATTCTGTTCGTTTGAAGAATTTTGTTTCTGAATTTAATGACCTAGTTAACCTGATTTCACAGACCTTAATCTTATTAACGTTAACGTTGACAAATGATGTATAAATTTTTGAATTTACGTTATTCTCGTACTCATTGTTGTGCTTGAACTTTGTTGGGCAGTACCTGTCTCCTTCTTTAAAAAATAAAATTTTTAACAATTCTTCCACTTGGCCATAGATCTTTTTTGACACACTCATTAAAAATTTCTTGGTCCAATGTCACCTTAAATGAGATCCTTTTGGCATTATCTCGTTTGGATAGCTCTTAGATTGAAAATTCTCTACTTGGAAACTTTGATTTTAAGAAACTGGTAAAATCTTTTTCTTCAGTGTCAAGCATTAAATTTCCTACGTAAACGTAAGCTTTCCGCTGAACAGCTCTCAACCCTGAGTTTAGGGATGCCTCCGCTTTTCCCCGAGTAAACTCCCGTAAGTTAGAACAAATTTATATTTATTCAAAAATCTTGACATTTGAACCGAACGAAATAGAAAAATAATGGACAAAATAACTATTTCCTTAAAAAATTATACGATATATCACGAGATGTTGGAAATACGCCCGAGATTTTTGATTAAAAGAAAATTTCCTATAAGATTTATCTATTTTAACATCACTTCGACAAATCTAAATGTGTGATAGAAATGGTGGAGGCGCCGGGATAATTTCTTACTTCATTATAGTTATTTCAGGAGTTTGTAAGAAACTTGAAGAAAAAACATACGTTAGAAGAAATCGTGTTCATATTTCAATTTATTAATGAAATCCTCGCCTAAATTTCATCACATGATATTATTAAATTAAACTAAATTTTTTATGTTTTGATATTTACACTGACAGTTGCTAGTTACCCTAATTAATTTTTGTCCATATCTATTGTTTTCTAACAAATCTTTAAAACTACAATTTTTAAACTTATTAAATATCCACGTGTCGAATAATAATTAGAGTTCATCAAATCAACTGCAAATTGGATTATTTTGGGATAAATTGTGCTGAAAATCACGGATCCGTTATTATTTTTGATCTGTGTGGTTAAATGTCGAAGAAAAATTCACTTTAATGCAAAAATCAGTTCGCAAAGGAGATGTTGATGTAGTTCAAGTCAATTCAGTTGTACTGTATTTCGAATATCCAGAAACCGAATGTAATGATTGATTTCTTCTCAAATCCATAATATTTTGTAAAATTTTTGTAGAAATGGGAGAAATTATGTACGCGTTTCTAAAATAATTACATTATTTTACTGAAATAAATAAACATTTGTGCTCAAAATCGGCAATACATAAACTCTAAAACGTTTTTGATTGAAACTATTGTGACGTCAATAAGAAATTTGTTTTTACAAAAAATGAAGAAAGTATTAGGAAATGATTTCTTGTTCTCTGTTTCGGTTAAGGTGGTTAACAACATATTTTACTAAGCGTGTGTCGATTACTATTGTATAAACTGGATATGCAATGGATTTTATTTTAAACAGAGAAAAGAACTTACCAACTAAACCGCTGCGACGGATGAATGCACTACGTTATGGCAAATTCATCCAAATTTCCAACACCAATGAACTTAGGGGTGTGTTCCCGTAATTAGATAATTGCACTTTCAACGTTTCGTTCGATTAATAATATATGCAGTTTCGTAATTAATTATTCTCTGATGCCAATTGATTGTTTTGTTGAGGGAAAAGTATTCAAAAAAAGATTGTATTCTTTGTTTGTAATTACAGGCTTCACTCTAAGAGAAATTTAATTTTCAAAACATGTTAATAACATAGCGTATAATAATTGTTAGGTTAGTAAGGTGCTTAAAAATTCATTTCTCCAATTTGCGGCTGCTTTAGTCGAAGGAGACAGTTTTTATTAAAAGGTGCGTCCTTGATCAAGTTTGCTCAGTTTTGTTAAAATATAAATACAAATCGTTGAAAAATACACATATAAACAGGTACAAATTTTTTCATATAGAATTTAAGTGCAAAAATATCAAATTCCCTCTTTTATCAACATTTCTACATATCTTTTAATCTATTACCTATTTGTAAATTACAACCATAACTAACATATTTTGCGCAGAAGCATGATAAATGATTGGATGTAAAAAGTCCATCCCCAAAAGTATAAATGTGCTGTAAAATAATTTTATGTGATACAAGTAAAAGAATACACAGTGAACGACCAAATATATGTTTCAAACGTGTTGGTCCCATTCTGCACTTTTTGATACACTTATTTATTCATCATCAACTAAAACTGAACATGGATGAAGTTTATCACGACTGGAAAAATACCATCAACTTGAACATTATATTTTTGAAAATAATGGGTTTGTGGCCAAGAAAGAACGAAATTTACAAGCCGGGTTTATATATGGTGTATAGTAGCCTGATGGTCACGCTTGTCGTCGTCTGCCACATTGCCACACAAGTGATTAACATTTACTTCGTCCGTAACCAATTAGAAACTGTCGTTGCCATAGTGTACATACTTTTGATAAATATTACGGCGAGTTTCAAAGTTTTCTTCGTTATAATAAATATGAAACAGCTGCAGGAACGAATGACTGTTTCAAAAAGTAACTGGTTTCCAAAGAGCAATCATCAACAAAAAGTTTTGATTGAATCTAGTATCAAATCTTGGATATCCAGTTACAGGATGCTTGTGGTTATATGTGTCTCATGGGTCGCCTTCTCGATGACTTACCCACTTTTGGATGCGTCTGTGGAAGAAAAGCGTTTACCATTTCTGGCGTGGTATCCATACGATCACAGAATTTCACCTTTGTACGAAATTACGTATGGTTTTCAAGTAATTAGTTCAAGCTATTTGGCTTGGGTTCATCTCACTATTGACAATTTGATGTACATTGTCAATGTGTACACAAAATGTCAGTTTGATATATTAAGTGACAATTTAAGAAATTTTACCAAGATATCGAACGACTTCAATAAGGGTTTGATTGTGTGCATTTTGCATCATAAGAGGATTTTAAGGTAGGCTAAAATGGCAGAACTTTTGTTATACTGAAATTGTTAATTTTAGTTTTGTTGAAGGCTGTAAATTTTTTAACTGGATATTTGTTTGCCACCTGATTATAAATGGAGTGGCTATTGGAATAACAATGTTTCAACTAACCATGGTAATTTATGTTGATGTGGTATTTTTTAGTAAATAATCTATTTAGGTGGCGCCATTTTCTAGTGAATTCTATTCACTTTTTACGTACGGATTTGCCATTACTATTCAGATTTTCATGTTTTGTTGGCATGGTAATGAAGTAGAATTAAGTGTGAGTGTAGCTAAAAAAATAGTCAACAAAACAAACTTTTTATCAAGATGTTAACATTAATTTTTTCTAGAGCGACCTGGTTTCATACGCAGCATTTGAGTCAGACTGGACTGAATTACCCGCAGATGTAAAAAAGAATTTATTTATTTTTGTCTTAAATGTTATTAAACCGATCAAGATATCAGCTTTCAATGTTTTTTACCTGTCTTTGGACACATTTATGAAAGTAAATTTGCAACTCTGAAAAATGAAACATTAAAAAAATATTTTGCAGATTCTTAGAACTGCCTGGTCGTATTTTGCTCTTCTGGACCAACTTAGTTCAAGAAATAAGTAACTTGATATTGTAATATTTATATGCCACCTCCAAACCTTTCGTAGTAAAATTTTTATGTAGGTTGATTTACATAAATGTATTTTCTTGAATTCATTTGTTGCTATTTATGTGTATCTAAATAACATGGTTAAAATTTTTAGACACAGTTTTTATTTCCTTTCAAGCTGTTTTCTTTTTTTAAAAAAACACATTTCCTTTTGTTTAATAATAATATTAATGATAATAATAATAATAACTTTGTCCTTTTTTGAGACAAAACTAATTTTTTGAAAGGACGTCAAGAAAAATTAAGTAAAGTAAGTACCCTAGCAATAATCCTAATTACCGGTTTTTGTGCAATAAAAACTTTCGGTGCCAGTGTTGACCAGCCCCACAACAGAATACCATACCGTAGAAGTGACTCTACCTCTGCAAAGCAGATGATTTTCAGTTGGTCTTCCTTAAGAATATTACGTAAATTTCGAATCAGATATGATGCCGAAGATAAGGACGTGACTACACGATGACAATGTTGTTTCCAGTTCAGGAATTTGTCAAAATGTATAAAAAAAATTGTAGAACATCCATTACAAAAATGAAGCTTATTGTTATAGTTAAAAGTCATTTGTGAACAAGTCTTTTGTCGATTATGAAATCTAATAACATTTTGTTTTTTGAATTAAGAAGTAAAGAATTTAAGCTATAGCAGTTCTCAGTTTTTCAAGTATGATATTACCATTTTAGTTCAGGAGCATATTGCACTTGTGAGAGAATAAAATTGCCGTGCCATCGGCATACATGATTATCTTTGCGTCAAAAGCATTTTTAAAGTCGTTAGTATACAAGATATACAAGACAGGGCCCATAATTGAGCCCTGTGGGACACAAGTATTTATATTGATTTTATCAGAGTAAAAGTGGTACCGATGTTTTTTGTAACGTGGTTAACAACATAGTGCATCCTGTTTGTGAGAAAATTTTGCAGATACGCCAGTTGAGTGCTACTAAATCCATAAATTTTTAATTTAAAAAACAATATGTCGTAATTAACGCAATCAAATGCTCTACTCCGATCGGAGAAGATCCTACTAGGGCATTCACCAGCCTTTAAAAAACGAACCAGATCTTCGTAAAATGAAAAGTTGCCGTTTTAGTAGATTTATTTACACGGAAATAATGGTGTTCCTTTCAATGTCTACAAGAAGCCTCTCCAAAAATCGGTACTCAAAAATCTTTGAAAACACATAGGGAACTGTAAATGACCTATAGTTTTCCATCAGCATAAGATAGCACTTTTAACACTTTTCGTAATTTGAGACACATGGAGAAACTGACCTGGACAGTGACAAAAGTTCAAAATATTGGCTTGACAATGTCTGAAATTCCTTTATAGCAAAATGTTTGGAACTTCGTCTTCTCCAGAAGAGTTTCTATTTTTCTAATTTTCTACTCACAAGTTGGAGAAACTCTTCTTCAGTGAAAGGATACACTAACACATCCTGACTACAAATTTTTGGATTGAAAGTATCTTCAAAACTATTTTTTGAAATATCTTGTATAACTTGCAACGGGATCTTCTTAAAAAAAAACATTGAAAGTATTATCTAAGATGTATAGATCTTCAAAATTCTATTGTTAATATTAACAGTAAGATTCGATTCTATATTCGAACTAGTCAGATTATTAACTATAGTCCTTGCAGATTTTATGGTTTTGCCGGAATTTATAATTTTGTTTTGAAAATACCTCTTTTTAGTTTGTTTAATCAGTTTCTCATATTTTGTTTTTCAAATTTATACACTGGTTGTAAATTAGGAAAATTACTCTTTAATGTAAATAAATCCTTCAATTTCATACTGGACAGTTTAATCTTATTATTAATTCAGTCATTTTCGGGTGAGTTCTTACATTTATTTCACTTCTGTAATCTTGTCAAAATAGTGTAAAAATATATATTACAAAAATATTCAAAGACTGAGTTAAAATTTTGACTAAGATATAATTCATCCCAACTTTCCGTAGCCAAAGCATTCTGAAAATTATACAGGGTCGCTCCAATATACGGAAACGGTAAAATAAGTATCTTAAGAACCAATTGTACAAATCCCCTGAAATTAGGTATAGGGGTACAACAAGTTATGCTCTAATTATTCGCCAAGAGAATTTTTTTTTACTTCATTTGTTTTCGAGACCCAACTTGATTTTTTTTTAAATGACACTACCATATTATACGTGATGCACTTTTGAAATCAGATTTCTTCCTTCTGAATCCATTTATATAGCACACGTACCTTCTTTCTGAATGAAATGGCAAAATAAATTATTAAAAAATAATGAAATAAATTAACCAATAACAAAAGAATTTCTGAAGGATCCTAGCAATTTCATTACGTACGCGTTCCTGTAAACGCGATTCTTCAAATAGCCCCACAAAAAAGTCAAGCGGTGTCAAATCCGGTGAGTTGGCAAGCCACTCACTAGTACCCTTTCAGCCTATCCATCTGCCAGGAAAAGTTTCATTTAAGTACTTTCGCACTTGACGTCCAAGATGTGGTGGAGCACCGTCTTGGTGGAACCAAATCGTTGCTGCTGGGAACCCCGAATTTTGGTAATTGGACCAATTGGGAAACAATTCTCTAAGTCTAGTTCCCGCAACAGCCTTAAGTATCCCTCAGAATTTAAATTCACGTTAATAAAAAAAGGACCAATTACATGGTAACCAATAATACAGCACCAAACATTCAGTTTTTGTCATTTTAAAGAAGATGCACATCCTTCGAACAGTTTTTTCACAGTAAATTCCTGTAAGTCGCTCTTTACAAAAATTGCCCCAAAAATTAGATCTACAATAATGGGTTCCCAAATGAAATGCGTCAATTTGAGATGACTATACACACGCCTCAATAGCCCAAGTTTCGTCGAAATTATCCTTATAAATGCGTACTTTCATCTATAAGTATATTGCTTCGTTTCTGAGCTCCAACTTCATAGATGTAAGCTCAGGGAAAAGCTGTGTCAGATAATCCTGAAGTGCTTCATAAGTTGTTGTTGGATACATTCTGGACACATGCAGATGCACACATTTTGGAACACCCTGTAGTGCACTGTTGCAATTAGTGCCGATGTTGTTTGTAATTGTACTGCTTCCAACGACCATAGAACGCTTTTTACGAGTGGGAGTTTGCGCATCCAGGTCGTGCGTATTTTTTGATACTTCTGTTTGTTATTCCGGCTTTTCATCTTTACAGGTCGTTATTTTTTGCTTCATAACAGCTTCTTTGGCGGTGTATCAGCAATTTTTTCAACGGATAATTGCGGTAAGATAACTTTTTCTTCATTATTCCTCTGTATTCTGTTAATTTTGACTTTCAATACCGCATTTTCTTCCCTTAACTGATCGATGGTAACCTTTGCTGGAGCTAACTATTGGTCACGTCCTTTTTGTAATATCTCCTTAATTTTTTTTTGAGCTAGTGCTTGTCAAGATTTCATTAACACGTAACTTTAGGGCTCTAGCACTTCCGCGAAAGAAAGAAAGAAAGAAGTGTGCCTCAAAGTTCCATCCTCGGCCCACTACTATTTCTAGTGTTCATAAATGACTTACCGAATCACTTAAATTCGAATTTAATTCTTTATGCCGATGATACAACCTTAATGAATAAAGCAACCTCTTTACCAACTGTTGTCCATTTGAGTAAAAACACATATTCGAAAGCTTGGGGCTAGTTTCATAGGAACGAATTATGTTTAAATTTCGATAAATCTGTAAATATGCTCTTTACCTTAAAAAAGGTAACGAGCATATACTAATAATTATGACGACTCAGTAAAATTTCTAGGATTATATATTGACTCGAAGTTGAATTGGGGTATTCACGGCGAAATGATTGCTAGCAAAATGTCAAAAGAAATATTTCTTTTACGAAATCTAAGAGATCGAGTACCACCTAAAATATTGCGGGTAGCGTATTTTGCACTTTGTGAATCACATATTTCGTATGGGAGTCAGATTTGGGGACATTCTGTGATAAGACATCGCATCTTTGGTTTGCAACGCAGGGCAATCAGGATAATTGCTGGGCTCAAATATAGGGAGAATTGTAAAATTGCGTACATTGAACTTAGTATACTCACATTTCCATGTTTATATATTCTCAATTGTCTTTTGGATGTTAGGAGAAATGTGGCAGCTTATAAATATCATGGTGACGTACACAATTATAATACTCGTCAGAAAGATCTTCTTTACACGAAAAGATTAAGAGTAAGTAAATCGAGAACAGGACTTGACTATTATGGCATAAAGTTTTGTAATAAATTACCTGTTGCTGTTCAGAAACTAGTTAACTAGGTTAACAACCTTTCCAGATACTGTAAAATCATTTTTAATATCTAAAGCTTACTATGACACTAGCGAATTTTTATTAGATCCTACTGTTGTTTTCATGTAGTGTTCTCAATTATGTAAACTTGACATGTACAAAGCCTTATAGGATTATACGTACTGATAAAATTATTATTATTATTATTAATGATATGATCATTTAAAAGTATGTAGAATACTTTTCGATATCATCATTAGAATAGTTGGTACATTTTCGATTTTTTTTACAATTTCCAGAGTTTTATCTTGGTATTTGATGATGTTGATTTTTAGTTTCTGAGAATAAATAGGAAGAAAATGAAGAACTTTCCTTGCAAATTGATAACTGATTTGTAATTTCATCTCTATCCATTTCAAAAATTTGTAGGAAATTTGAATAGAAAATTTTGTGCGTTATGAGGAAACATGTGTTTATTCAAGAATCTTGATATTTGAACAGAATAACGCCATAGAAATTATCGGCCAAAATAAATCATTTTCATAAAAAAAAAATCTACCATATTCTACGGGATCTGCGCAATAACCACAGATTTTTGACTCTGAGAAAATTTCCTGTAAAAATTAGCAATTTAGATACCGTATTGACGAATTTCAATTTTTGATTTAAAATGGTGGAGGCGCCGGAATAAGTTCTTGTTTCATTAGTTAATTCAGGAATTTGCGAGAACTTTGAAGAAAAAATAAAGTGTGCTAGAAGAAATCGTGTACTTAAAAGTATTTCAATTTACTTATCAATTTTGGCGTAATTTTTATCAGATGACATTTACATTCAAATTATTACAAACCTCAGTTAGAATTGTTCATGTTTTGATATTTACACTGACAGTTGCCAATTACGCTGTATATTATCCGCTGATATCTACTATTTAATAAAGAATCTTTGAAAAAAAAATTGTTTAACTTATTTATTGTTCAAGTAACGAATAATCAGCTCTTTTTCCCAAAATGGGTGAAATCGTGTAAACGTTTCTAAAAATAGTTACATTACTTTACTGACATAAATATTTGTGCTCAAAATGGACAATACAAAAAATCTAAAACGTTTTTGACGTGAATAAGAAAGAGTTAAGGTGGTTAACAATATCTTTTACTAAGCATCTGTGGATAATTATTATATAAACTGGAAATACAATGTATTTTATTTCAAACAGAAAAAGAACTTACCAACTAAACCACTGCGGTGGATGAATACACTACGTTGTAGCAAATTCACCAAAATTTCCAACACAAATGGATTTAGGGGTGTGTTCCCGTAATTAGATAATTGCACTTTCAACGTTTCGTTCTATTAATAATATATGCAGTTTCTTAATTAATTATTCTCTGATGCCAATTGATCGTTTTGTTGTGGGAAAAGTATTCGAAAAAAGATTGTAATGTGTAATTACAGGCTTCACTCTAAGAGAAGATACATACCGTATAATAATTGTTAATTTAGTAAACTGCTTAAAAATTCATTTCTCCAATTTGCGTCTGCTTTAGTTGAAGGAGACAGTTTTTATTAAAAGGTGTCCTTGATCAAGTTTGCTCTATTGTTAAAATATACATAAAATCGTTGAAAAATACACATGTAAACAGGTAAAAATTTTTTTTATAGGATTTAAGTGAAAAAATTTCTACTTTCCTCTTTTGTCACAATTTTTAAATATCTTTTAATCTCTTACCTCTTTGTAAACTAATACCATCACTTATTTTGCGCAGAAGCATGACAAATGATTCGATGTAAAAAGCACGTCCCCTGAAGTATAAATGTGTTGTAAAATAGTTGTATGTGATGAAGTAAAAGAATACACAGTGAACGACCAAATCTATATTTTAAACGCTTTGGCCCCATTCTGCACGTTTTGATACCTTTATTTTTTTTATCATCAACTACAACTGAACATGGATGAAGTTTATCACGACTGGAAAACTACCATCAACTTGAACATTCTACTTTTGAAAACAATGGGTTTGTGGCCAATAAAGAAAGAAGGATTTTATATGGCATATGGTAGCCTCATCAGCACGCTTGTCGTCGCCTGCCACATTGGCACACAACTGATTAGCATTTACTTCGTCCGTAACCAATTAGAAACTGTCGTTGCCATTGTCTACATACTTTTGATAAATATTACGGCGAGTTTCAAAGTTTTCTTCGTTATAATAAATATGAAAAAGCTCAACGAACGAATGATTCTTTTAAAACGTAACTGGTTTCCAAAGAACAATCATCAACAAAAAGTTTTGAATGAATCTGGTATCAAATCTTGGACATCCAGCTGCTGGATGTTTGTGGTTCTATGTGTCTCATGGATCACCTTCTCGATGAGTTACAAACTTTTGGATGCGTCTGCAGAAGAAAAGCGTTTACCATTTCTGGCGTGGTATCCATACGACTACAAAATTTCACCTTTGTACGAAATTACGTATGGTTTTCAAGTAATTAGTTCAAGGTATTTGACTTTGGTTCATCGCATTGTTGACAGTTTGATGTACATTGTCAATGTCTCTACAAAATGCCAGTTTGATATATTAAGTGATAATTTAAGAAAGTTTACCAAGTTATCAAACGACTTCAATAAGGGTTTGAGTGTGTGTGTTTTACATCATAAGTGGATTTTAAGGTAGGCTAAAATTGTAGAACTTCTTTTATACTGGAATTTAAAACTTTAGGTGTGTTGAAGACTGTACATTTTTTAATTGGATATTTGTTTGTCACCTGATTATAAATGGAGTGGCCATTGGAAAAACAATGTTTCAACTAACAATGGTAATTTATGTAAATAGAAATATGATATATTTTTTAAATAATCTATTTAGGTGGTACCATTTTCTAGTGAATTCTATACACTAGTTACGTATGGATTTACCATTACTATTCAAATTTATATGTATTGTTGGGATGGCAATGAAGTAGAATTAACGGTAAGTGTGCGACTATATCAACTAAAACCTATATGATTCAAAATTTTATTCGAGTTCTTTTCTAGAGCGACCTGGTTTCGTACGCCGCATTTGACTCAGACTGGACTGAATTGCCCGAAGATTTAAAAAAGAAGTTATTCATTTTTGTCTTAAACATTATTAAACCGATCAAAATATCAGCTTTACCTTTCTTTAGACAGATTTGTGAAAGTAAGTTTGCACTTTAAAAAATGAAGCATTATTTAAACACTGTTTTGCAGGTTCTTAGAACTGCCTGGTCGTATTTTGCTCTTCTGAACCAACTTAGTTCAAGAAATAAGTAGCTTTAAGTTGTGAATTAATATTTTACTTTGAAACTTTTCGCACCAAAATTTTTATCTAGGCTTATTTACGTAAATGTATTTTCTTGAATCCATTTGTCGCTATTTATGTGTATCTAATGCGGTTAGAATTTTTAGATAAAGTTGTTATTTCATTTCAAGCTGTTTTCTTTTTTTGAAAAAACACGTTTTCTCATGTTTAAAAGTATGTAGAATACTTTTCGATATCGTCAGAATTTTTTTTGTCTTAGCGAGTTACCTTTTAACATCATGTTGCTGAATTTAAATTTTTAATTAAAAAAATTGTGAGAAAGTTGAAGAACATATAAGGTGTGCTAGAAGAAATCGTGTACATAAGTATTTCGGTTTTTATCAAATCTTGGCGTAATTTTTCACGTTTTGATATTTATTCTTTGGTAAAATGTGTTGAGGATCATGCACCTTTTCTGACTATTGCTCGGGGTGCTCAAATATTGAAAAAAATTCATTTTAGTCCACAAAATTGTAATCAAATCAGTTAGAAAAAGTATTTTCGTAGAAATGCTGATATTATTTTTCTGAAATGAATAAATATTTGTGCTTATAATGTACAAAACATTAACATCTAAACGTTTTTGCTTGAAACTTGTATCACGTGAAAAAGAGACACAAAAAATATGAAGAAAATGTTTACTTCTTTTACTAAATTTGTGTGGATAATTACATATATTGGAAACACAGTGTATTTTGTTTTAAACACAAAAAAACTACTTACCAACTAAACCCCTATGATCGATGAATACATTACGTTACGAAGTTCCGTAATTATTCTCTCATGTCAATGAATTGTTTTGTTGAGGGAAAAGTATTCAGAAAAAAAAATGTATAATTTGTTTGTAATTACAGGGTTCACTCTAAGAGAAATTTAGTTTTCAAAACATGTTAACAACATACCCTATAATAATTTTTATGCTAGTAAAGTGGTTAAAGATTCATTACTCTATTTTGTGGTTGCTTTAGTTCAAGGAGACAGTTTTTATTAAAAGGTGTGTCCTTGATTAATTTGCTTAGTTTTAGTAGGGTCAACAAAAACTTTATTAATTTATATGTTTTATTGGATTCATAGAATGAAAATTAGAAAGAATTTAAACAAAGTTTAGAAAAATATGCAGTAAATAAACTTCCTATTGGGTTAACTCTTTGATTTTCCGACTTGTAGTATTTTTTAATTTTATCACTATTATTTCAGAGCTTTTTCAGCTTTAGTTTAAAATATTTCAACCTATTATATTAAGGTCTACGCCAAAAGCTAACAATAGCTCTTCTATTTAAATAAACTAAAACATAAAAGAAACGTCTTATTTATTGAACATATAGTGAACAGGTTCTCTTTTTGTAAGGTTACAAAATTTATCTTTTTTCATTTGTTAGAGATATTTCATTCAAGAATTTTACAAAATTCAAACAAAAAGAAGCGAGAATATTATAAAACGACAATTTACTCCAAAGACATATTCCTAAATTTATCTAAATTTACCACTTGACTTAAAATTTTCCTTTAAAGTTTAGAAGAATTTGAAATCATTTTCGTGTATAAATATAGTGGCTCGTGTTCGACCTGATTTTATTAAATTTATCCTCCTAAATAAATAAACAAAATCATTATTCCACGTGATAAAAAGATAAATAATGGTGAAATTACGGGATGATTTGTAATTTCATTTCTATCCATTTTAACAATTTCTTAGAAACTTAAATAGAAAATAATATACATTAAAACAAATCGTGGATTTATTTTAGAATCTGATTTTTGAACATTATAACAAAACAGATACAGATTTGAACAACTCTTTTTCGGACAAATTTTGACTAAACTATCCGCTTAATGCCTAAAAGAAAATTCCACGGAATATGACAAGGTAAGCAGATATTTTTGATGATTGGAAAAATTCTTGACAAATATTTTAACGCTATTTTGACGAATTTGAGAAGAAGTGGAAGGGAAGCGAAGGCGTAACTTGTAATTTCATTTCAATCCATTTTCGAAATTCAAACAAAGTTGAGTTGAAAATATTGCTCAGAATAACAAAAGAGAACATAATTTGAACGAAGATAAATAGGTCTTTTTCGGAATAATTTTTATAAATTTATCCTGTTAAAAAAAAAATTCGTTATTCTAGGGAAGGCAAAGAAAGTAAGCAGAAATTCGTGCCCTTCAGTAAATTTATTGTAAGAATGGCGTGTTTTAACACCATTTTAATAAATTTTAAATTTTTACGAATTGGTGGAGGCGCCGGGATACTTTGGAAATTTATTCTTATTTATTCCAGGATTTTGTAAGAAATGTGACTAAAGCGTGAACACATGAGAAGAAATCGTGTATTTCTCCAAAAATCTCCATATTTGAACGGTACAAAAAGACAGACAATTCGTGAACGAACTAAATGATGGAAAGACTTTTGGGTCGTTTTCACTTAAAAATTATTTTAGGAAAAAAATATAAACGAAAACAGATATATACATTTAGTGATCTGCTTGTAATAATAGTGAATATAACAAAAACGAACAAAGGAAATAAATTCAACACTTCACCGTAACCATTTTTTTCTAAAAAGTGCTATTTATAAGTCACTCACCTTTGATAAACGAAAAAAACCCGGTTATTCGTCGTACGGAACCACCGACAGGGATTGTTTCAACCCTCCACGACATTTATCGGTTTAAATTAATTACTACAATTATATAAAAATCGGGTATAAATTCAAACTCAGTGGTAATTATCGTTTTAAAATTTTTGCTTATTAATATTATATGTAAATCGCTAATTAATTATTCTCCGAACCAAATTGTTCTAGATATTAGGCAGAAATGATCCAACAAAATAATGTAATGAGTGGTTGAAGTTCGTCTAGACCTCCGTCAATGAAAGGGTATTCTTGAAAGATATTTTTTTAATTGCGAGACAGACGTAAAATAAGAAAATAAGCTATAATTACAAGAAAAGAGCACCTTAATATTTAAAGTCGGTTTAAGTTCAGGGAGATATTTTTTGTTGCACAGTAGAGAGTTGCCCCAAGCTTGAAGTGTCATCGTAGTACAAAAAATTGAAAACATTTACTTAGGTCAAACGACAATTCAACTACTGGTATATATACTCTTTTTTTTTAAAAGTGTCAATTTTTCATTTTCAGATTAAATCAACACTAAAGTTGACTATGAAGAACATGTAGATGATCTGGTATGGATTCGTCATAATCGTACTTGTGCCATGTCATATTCATAATAAGACAATGTTTTACGACTTAAGCCTTTTTATGGAAATTATGGACATAATTGTAACTACTTTAAGGAGAAGCATTATAGTTAATAGAGGTTGGTTTCAATTAATAAATCAAAATCAGGGAATAAATTCGGTCAAATATGGTTTAAAATTCTGGATTTACAAGATGTTGCAAATTTTCTGTTTCGTATTTAACACTTACTTGGATGGACCTACAGCGACAAATCATTTCAACATCGCTGCGTTAATCTATTTTACAAAGCTCTTATATATAAGAAATTTAAATATTCGTTTTAGGATTTTAGAAAAATGGGGTTTTACTTTCCAAATATCCATAAGTTTGAGGTTACAATTTTTTTTTTTTGTTTGTAAATGTTAATTTAGCGTGTAGTGGAATAATCAGAAATTTATTTAAAGCAGACCTGTAAGCTACCAAGAACTGTGAGTTTGTATTTTATGTATAAATATTTAGTGTGACTGTTTTAATAAAATAAGCTGCTTTATAATTGCAAAACGTCTAAGATGTTTTTCTAAGCAAGCATGCGCAAAAATACTTTGTCGATTCGTTTGAACTTATATAAGTTGATAATTAAATATCAAGTACTAGTTCATGGAGGAGATGGGTAAGTATTTTTATAATATTACCACAATCTGTCGCTATCAGTGGTTCCAGTCGTATTAATCTCTTTTAGTAAACATGAACAACGTCGAACAGTACAACTGGAAAGACAACTTTGATATCAACATCCGTTTTTTGAGAAAAATGGGCTTGTGGCCAGAGGGCGAAGGAACTTATAAACCAGGTTTCTACATGTTTTATTCTGCATTCATGGTAACTTTATTCCCCACATGCCACATTTTATCAGAAATCGTTGATATGTACATCCTTCGTGATAATCTGGAAGCCGTGGTAGGAATAATCTACGTAACTCTCATAGAAGTGATGGCATGGATTAAAATCTACTTCGTCATAACACGAATTCAAGTTCTTAAAGAACGCATGGAAAATTTAAAAGCTGACTGGTTTCAGCCGAAAGATCGAGACCAACTTCTGATGATCGAACCAAGTATCAATTTCTGGAAAATTGTGTATAAGATGTTGCTAGTTACTTGCTTCGCCTGCAACTTTTTTTGGTTGATACCTCTTCTAATCCGGCGCAAAGACGAGAAAAATTTACCTTTTCTGGCTTGGTATCCATTTGATTGCAGCAATTCACCATATTTTGAAATAACTTACGTTTATCAAATATGCAGCACGAGTTATTGTACACTAGTTCACACAAATGTGGATACGTTGATTTCTGGTTTCAATGTCTACATTGGTTGTCAATTTGATATGTTGAGCGATAATCTGAGAGGGATGGTGGAAAAGCGTGCCAAAGACGAAATTCAAGCCAGAAGCAATTTGATAAAGTGTGTCATCTACCATAAGCAAATTTTGAGGTAAATTTTATTAAAGTTTTTGGTTTGTTGTCAACGTACTTTTTAGTTTTGTCGATGGTTGTAACCAGTTCTTCAACATAATTCTTTTTTGGCATTTGATAATTAGTGGAGTGTCGATTGGTATAACGATGTTTCAACTGACTTTAGTATAGTTACAGCAAATAATGGTAGGTGTTAAAGTTTTAAAATTCGATTGTTTTAGGTGGCACCAATGACCAGCGAATTTTTTTCAGTGCTTTGGTACGGTTTTGCAATAATTGTGCAAATTTTTATGTACTGTTGGTTTGGAAATGAAGTAGAGGCCAGGGTAAGAATTATGTTGTTACTAATTACTTTTGTTACTAATGATCTTTGTTTGAACTCCATTAAAGTTATTTATTAAATTAATAAAAATGAACTAATCGATTTTGTATTACTAGTTGCAGACAAGTAAATTAAAAAAATATTTTGAAAATGATAGAAAAATACGGAACACAGTTGGTTTAATTTTTTTAGAGCAACCTCGTCTCCTACGCCGCCTTTGAATCTGATTGGACAGATCTACCTGAAGACGTAAAGAAAAATTTAATAATTTTCACAACAAATGTTTTAGAGCCTATAAGAATATCTGTTTTCAATTTTCTGCAGCTATCGTTGGACACTTTTACAAGGGTAGGCTGATCTTAAATTTCTTCATTGTGTTTTTTTTTATTACTAAATTTCAGCAGCTTCTCAAAACGGCTTATTCATACTTTGCTTTGCTGATTCAGTTAAGTGCGAAGTAGTTACTTAGTAGTTAGGTGAAAACAGTGATAATCATCCTGGATTAAACACACTTTAAAAGTAATTCACAGGAATTTTAGTAAAGTGAAAATTGTGCTGCTACACCGGTTCTTAGCGTATTTATGAAACGTCAGTACAAATTCTGGAACAGATTAACGGCAGTGGATCAAGTGTAATAAACTTCAATTTTCACATTGCAATGCAAACATTTACTTTATCAGTAGATGAGACAATCTAGTTTCGACTGTATATATTTAAATAAATAATAAACTATTGTTGCTGTATTTGATAATTTAAGTTAAGGAAATATTGTATTTCTTGAGGTTTCCTAAAATACGAAAAAGTAGATCCCTCGTTTCCGTCTATCTGACCTCCGTCTGTCCGCATCTGTGTCGATTTTTATTTTATTTATGTACGTACATTAGGAATATCGTGTAGGCGGTAAACCTTATCCAGAATTTCTCTGAGTATCCCCACCAACGATGATGTGACGTTATTTCCAACTTTTACAACAGTAAATGTTACTTAAATTTTATAAAATAACATACTCCTCCACTTGTAGTTTATGAATCCGTGTTGAGTTTTTACCCTAGGCATCTAGATTTTAGTAAAAAAATCAAAATTGTATAATAACATTTTACAACCTAATTTTCAAATGGTAAAACTGAAAGCTCTGAAACCTTGAAAACGTGTTCAGGTTCCCCCTAAAACTAATGACACCATCTCAAAATTTTGAAGAATAAATCCCCTCGAAATTGCGCAAAATATAATTCATAGAGTCAGAGTTCATACTGGTGATTTATCATGTCACTTATATTTTTTAGAATAGTTTTTACAGGGTGATTCAAAAAAATTATGAATAAGTCAATTTATTTTATTGTTTAAATCACGAATGGCTGAGTCCATTTTCCCAAAAATTAGAGAATACAATAGTCTTATTATTATTATTAGTATTACATTATTCCACTAACTCCACACTATATCCATCAAAGCCCAAAAGTTTCTGGTTTTTTTAAAGTTTTGATATTCCAAATTTTTCAATATTTTTTATGCTTCTTCGTTCAATTTTTCCTGTTTTTCAATTTTTCGATATTTCAGTTTTGGAATTTTTAGATATTTCAATTTTTCGATATTTTTATTTTTCAATTTTTCGATTTTTTGGCTTCTCGGTTTTGGATTTATCGATTTTTTCAATTTAAATTTTTTAAATTTTTAACTTTTCGATTTCTCGATATTTCAATTGTTGCATTTTCCGATGTTTCGATTTTTGATTTTTTCGATTCCCCAATTTTTCGGCATTTCAGTTTTGGAATTTTTCAAATTCCATATTTTTTAGTTTCTCGATTGTTCAAGATTCCAATTTTTCGAATTCTCGATTTTTCAATTTTTCGATATTTTAACTTTTCAATTTTTTAAATTTTAGATTTTTTGATTTCTCGATTTTTCTATTTTCAATTTTTCGAATTTCTAACTTTTCAATTTGCCACTTTTTCGATTTTTAAATTTGTTGCCACTTTTTGATTTCTCAAATGTTTCAATATTTTTGAGGTTTCGAATTCTCGATCTTTTGATTTTTCAGTTTCTCCATTTTCAATTTTTCGATATTTCAATATTGCGATTTTTCAATTTTTCGATTCTTCAATTTCTCGAGTTTTCAATATGTCGATTTTTTAGTTTTTCGTTCAATTTTTCCCCCGTTTTAAAATTTTTTGGTGTTTCGATTTCCTAATTCTTTTTATTTTTTTATTCTAGTTTTAAAATTTTAGATTTTTCGATTTCTGGATTTTTCAGTTTTTCGAAATTTTCATTTTTCAATTTTTCGAATTTTTCAATTTTAAATTTTTTTAGTTTTTTCGACTTGTCGGTTTTAGATTTTTCGATTTTTTTAATTAAAATTTTTTCAATTTGTAACTTTTCGATTTTTCAGTTGTTCGATTCCCCAATTTTTCGTCATTTCCGTTTTGAAATTTTTCAATTTCTCGATTTTTTAGTTTCTCGATTATTCAATATTCCGATTTTTCAATTTTTAAAATTTTAGATTTCTCAATTTTTCAGTTCTTCGACATTTCTATCTTTCAATTTTTAGGATTTTTAAATTTTTTATTTTTGGATTTTTTGGTTTTCCAACTGATGGAATTTTAAATTTGTTCGATTTTTCGAATTTCCGATTTTTCAAGTTTTCGATTCCTGAATTTTTCGACATTTCAATTTCGAAAAATTCTCAATTTCTGGAGTTTTTTTATGTTTTGATATTTTAAATTTTTCAATGTTTTTGGTGTTTCAATTTGTCGATTTTTTGATTTTTCGACTTCTCGGTTTTAAATTTTTCGAATTATCGATTTTTTTAATTTAAAAATTTTCAATTGCTAACTTTTCGATTTTGGTCCATTTTGATTTTTCTATTTTTCTACTTTTTGATGTTTCGATTTTTCAATTTTTCGATTTCCCAATTTCTCAATTTTTCAGTCTCGATTCTTTAATATTCTGATTTTTTTGTTTCAATTTCTTTCTGGATTTTTTAAAGTTTTGAATTTTAAAATTTTTCAATATTTTTGATGTTTCGATTTCTCTATCTTTCGATTTTTCAATTTTTCGATTCTTCAAATTTTCGATCAATCGATTTTTTGATTTTTCCATTTCTCGATTTCTCAACTTTTCAATTTTAAAATTTGTTCGACTTTTCGATTTTTAGATGTCGCGATTTTTCAAGTTTTCGATTTCGCAATTTTTCGACTTTTCAATTTCTGGAGCTTTTAAATGTTTTGATATCTTAAATTTTTCAATTTTTTTTGAAGTTTCGATTTCCCGATCGTTCGATTTTTCGACTTCTCGGTTTGAGATTTTCCGAATTATCGATTTTTTTAATTTAAAATTTTTAAATTCGGAACTTTTCGATTTTGGTCTAATTCAATGTCTCAATTTTTTGATTTTTCGACTTTTCGATTTCCCAATTTCTCAATTTTTCAGTTCTCGTTTCTTCAATATTCCGTTTTTTATGTTTCTATTTTTCAATTTTTCGTATTTTCATTTGAGAGGTTCAGTCGAAACAACCTTCAACCAATTTTTTTAAGCTCACGAGTGCAATGCTATACATAATTGACTGGCTTTCATGTGCATGAATTACTTTAATGCAACATTTATGAAATCAATATGAACTAAGTACCTACCGATTATCGCTGGACTCAAAAATTTCACTTCTCGAATTACAAAACTCACGAAAATACATCGGTCGCTGTTTTAGAAGGTTAACGGTGACATCAACAGTGATGCATGTGGAGTATCAGGGCATTTGATGTTTTTCGAAAGAAATTAAAACAGCATAGTGTTTTTCTTGAAGAATTGAATTTAAAGCAACTACTAAGCCAATTTTTGAAATTTAGCAACTGTTTTGAGGTAATCATCAGGTTCATGAATCTCTAACAAAAATTAATTATCTATCCATCCCCACCAAAACTTTGATGACATTACCTAAAAATATGCTAAGTCAAACGTATTTAAAATACCGAGTTCACCTGCGAAGCAAGTTCTGTCTGATAGTTTCAGGCTAATTTTCATGTTTTTCTAGACGTTTCATGGCCCCTAGAGTACGAAGAAATAGGTTTCCCGTTTCCGTCTGTCTGTTTGTCTGTCTGTATTCAGTCTTATCAGACAGGTGATCTCCGAACTACTGGACCGATTGTTGTCAAATTTTGTATGTATGTTAGAAATAGCATGTAGACTACGCTAGCCAAAATTTGGCTGATCATCCCCACCAACAATTTGATGACGTCATCTCAATGAGCCGTATTTTAAAATAAGTTGAACGTTATAAAAAATATACTCCTATATTGTAGTATACGAATCCACTTTCAGATTTTTGTAAAGGGAAAATTTATTTTTGTAATTTTTAGAGGAATCTGTTTTCGCCTGTAGTTCAGAGGCCAGGGAAGTTCTGCCTAAATAACTTTAGTCCAATTTTTTAACTTTACGTCATGATTCGGTCACAACAAAGAGCCGTAAAGTTGTTAGCTTTCGAACTATGTTACCCTTTTTGCCCAGTTTTTGGCCGGTAAGTTCGAAATATATATACGGTGGAATCAATAGCTTAGGGAATTTGTCAGTTTTTTTTGGCTTAAATTTCTTCGGATTGGTAATGGCCTACACGTGAGTTTTTACCTTTATTGCTTCGATTTGATTGTCGATCTTGTTTAATCGTGAGAAAAAAAAAAATCAGAACCTTAATAAGGTAGTAATATTAAAAAAAAAAACTGTAACATTTACGTAGTTATTGATGTTTATCCCGGCGCATCCACCAATTTTCTACCAACGAACTTTTGCAAAATTATATTGAAAAGAAGATTTAGAAGAATGGAAAAATGATTTTTTTTCATTTTTTTTGTGATTATTTTATAAAAAGACTTTTTAAGGCACACTAAAACACTATTCAAAAATGAGAAAAAAATTCTATTACTGCGTCGTTGTGTATGCATGGATTATTAAGATAAAGGTAACTCCCAGCAATTTTCATTTTAATTTTTAATGGGTTGATTCCACATTACATTGAATATCGAATCAGTAATTTCTTGTGGAGAGCAAAATATGTACCTATACTCTGCAATAAAAGTTTATCATATATGGTTATTTCAGTATCCATATGTGGTAATTTTCGAAAGCCAGTATGTACAAACTTGGAACTCAACGAATTACATGTTTCGATTTTTTGTGCAGCTGCATAAACTAACCTACTTATTGGTTGGTTCATAACAGAAATAACACAGATCGTAGGAGTGATAAGAACATCGCAAGGAATAAATTTCCTTTTAAGAAGTTGACTTTCGTATTGTGTATTTGTTAAACTCTACTTGTAATTCCTCGATTCAAAAACAAAACAAATAAAGGTAGGAAACTTCTTACTTGCCACGTGGCTGTACAACATTGTCAAATATATTTTCAGCTAAGGTTAAAACAGTTTAGAATAAACATGAATAGAGCAGCCCACTATGACTGGAAAGGCAATTTTGACATCAACGTACGTTTTTTAAGAAAAATGGGTCTATGGCCAGAGGGCGACGGAACTTACAAACCAGGCCTCTACACACTTTATGCCGCATTCATGGTAACTTTATTCCCCACAAGCCACATTTTATCAGAACTTATTGATATTTACTTCGTCCGTGATAACCTGGAAGCTGTGGTAGGAATAATCTACGTAACTCTCATAGAAATAATGGCATGGATTAAAGTTTACTTCGTCATAACTAGAATACAAGTCCTTAAAGAACGAATGGAAAATTTAAAAGCTGACTGGTTTCAGCCAAAAGATCGAGACCAACTTTTGATGATCGAACCGAGTATCAACTTTTGGAAAATTGTCTACAAGATACTGTTAGTGGCTTGTTTCGCTTGTAACTTTTTTTGGTTGATACCACTTTTAACCCGGCGAAGTGGCGATAAAAATTTACCTTTTCTGGTTTGGTATCCATTTGATTGCAGCAAATCACCGTATTTTGACATAATGTACGTTTATCAAATTTGCAGCACTAGTTATTGTACACTAGTTCACACGAATGTGGATACTTTGATATCTGGTTTCAATGTGTATATTGGTTGTCAATTGGATATGTTGAGCGATAATCTGAGAGACATGGAAAAGTGTGGCAACGGCAAATTTAATGTTGGAGATGATTTGATAAACTGTATTATCTACCATAAACAAATTTTGAGGTACGGTGATTAAAATTTATTCATTTATCACTAACATCGTTTTTAGTTTTATTGATGGTTGCAACCAGTTTTTCAATGTAATTCTTTTTTGGCATTTGATAATCAGTGGAGTAACGATTGGGATAACAATGTTTCAGCTAACTTTAGTAAGTATAACTGCAATGAAACTGGCAGAAATTAATCTTTATTGTTAAACTGTTTCAGGTGAAGCCAATGTCCAGCGAATTTTTTTCAATTCTTTGGTACGGTTTTTCGATAACTGTACAAATTTTTATGTACTGCTGGTTTGGAAATGAAGTAGAAGTCAAGGTAAGAAAAATGATGCTACGTAACAAAACTCATCCCACTTTTAGAGCAACCTCGTCTCCTACGCTGCCTTTGAATCTGACTGGACAGACTTACCCGAAGATGTAAAGAAAAATTTGATAATTTTTATAACCAACGTTTCCGAGCCTGTAAGAATTTCTGCTTTCAATCTGCTGCAACTGTCGTTGGACACTTTTACAAGGGTATGCTAACTTTCAGGTTTGTTGTTTGCTTCTTGTCATTATTTTGTTATCAGATTCTCAAAACGGCGTGGTCTTACTTTGCTCTGCTGACTCAGCTAACTACAACGTAATTAGGGATGAAAACGAGCCGTGCTAACCCGTTACCATACGAATACTTCTTAGTTGAATTATTTTGAATACATAAGAAAAATAAAGCTTGTTTAATTTGGACAAATATTTTAATTCAGATAAATTCGCCCGGCGCATCCACCAAATTTCGAGTTTAGAACGTATTTTAAAACAACTTTTTTCCTACCGTCGCGAGCAAATATTCTGGTCGTCGAAGTCATTTTTTACACAGAATTAAATGGCAGACACTGATGACTAGAATTTTTTGCTCTCGACGGTATTTTGCTTTTTTTCTTAATATACATAATATTCTTTGAACAACACGATACTCAAAAACATGTTTTTAATTTCTTGTAAGTAAATAATATTTTGCAGTTAAGCTTGGTTCACGACGAACAAAAAAAAGCATCACAATTGAGATAGGGCGGGTGGGCGGAGCTTATATTTTACCTTTTTTTTTTCTTAATATACAGATCCATCTTTTCACAACAAGAAACTTAGAACGTGGTTAAAATGGTACGATTTTGCAAGGAAATATGGGGTGGAGCCTAATTGCAAAATCGATATTTCCTTATATTTACAAATTTTCAATTTTAAACATGTTTTAAGTTTCATGTTGTGAGAAAAAGTCTACACATATTAAAACAAAAAGGCAAATGTAAGCGGGTTTCTCAATATCTCATTAATTGTTAGAAATAGAAAAAAAGTCAAAGGCCAAAGTTGTACAGTTCCTTGAGAAATTTACTGTAAAATTATTTTTAACTATACGGAGTGTTCAATTTTAAAGCGTATTTTTTAAATATAACACTTTTCGTAGGCTTTATAGTCACAGTTTTTCTTTATTACATTCCGACGTTGCTTTTTACCTATGGGGTCCACATAAAGTCACAGTTGAATTATTTTTACAGTCAACAACATTTTGTGGAGAGATAAAGAAATGAGATTAAATTTTCGTATGCTTTTTCAATTTTCCACTGCTTATAAACAATATTTAAATTATTACAATTTTCAAATATATATAACTCAGTATTTTCACATAGACACCATATATTATATTTGTGCATCTTATTATATTTTTTTGTTCTTTTTCTTTTTTGCTGAGTATTTTCTTTATTTAAATTTGTTACTGCGATTTTTTCTTTCTGAGCGACACCTAACGAAGTGTTGTAATCGAGTCCATTGGACGACTGGCTTCTTTTATGTTTTCTCGACGTTTCATGAGCCCGTGAGTATGAAAAATTTGACCTCCCATTTCCGTCTGTCCCTGTGTCTGTCTGTCTGTCTGCCGCTTGTCCGGATTTAGACAGATAATCTACGAAACTACCGGACAGATTGCTGTCAAATTTTATATCTATACTCAGAATATCGTGCAGATGGTAAAAAGCTAACCAAAAGTTGAGTATTCATCTCCAACAACAATACGATGACGTCATTTCCAAAATTTACACTAATACACATGTGGTTTATGAATCCGTGTTGAGTTTTAGCCCTAGACATCCAGATTTTTTTAATTATATTTTACAATTTGATTGTGAAATTGCAAAACCGAATCTTGCAAACGTTTTAATCAAAATTTATTAATTTGTGGCCTCTCCACAAAATGATGACGTCATCTTACAATTGTGTCGAAAAAAGGTTCTTTAAATTTTATAAAAAATAACACTCATACATGTGTGATTTATGAATTCGTGTTTAGTTTTTACACTGGAAATCCAGATTTTTGTGGAAATAATCAAAATTGTGTAGCTACGTTTTATAATTTAACTTTGCAATTACAAAAACAGATGGCTGTGAAATCTTGCAAATATTTTAAAGATATTGGAAGCATGATAAATATTTAATAAAAGTTTCTCCGTCATTTACCGAATAAATGTTCTTCAAAATTTTGAGTGTTTTTGGGAGAAAAAACTAAGTGTGTTAATTAATTAATCAGTCAGCTTTTCTCGTGCTTTGAGAGACAAAATCAATCAAATTTAATTTTCTTGTAAGCTCTCATGCTTGTAATCCGAACGTGCTAATAGTTGAATTCTTTCGAAGTATAAACATAAACAGTCGAAGTTAAGCATGTATTGAGAAACTGAGAATTTCTACATTTTTTCCTGTTGGTTATCTGCTTTATATATATTGCGGGGGCGTTATTTATGTCACTGGTATTTACTTTATACGGGTTATCACAAAATAAAATCCCAAAATCAAATTTTATAATATTTTAAAGAAGCGGGATTCGGAATATACTTCTTCGAGTAAATTTTTACTTTTTCTAAAAAACACATCGACATATTAAAGGAATGAAGACAAAAAATAGAGTAAGATACAGTAATAAAATACAGGGTGTTTCATTTGAAAAAACTGAAATATGGAAATTTGAAAATTAGTTAAGGTTTAGAACCGTTTTTATAAACATGTTGCCACGGAATTTTAAATAATATGTCGTGTCAAAACAATTATGACGTTCGAAGTTTCATTGGCAGTATTGAGTAATATTGTTTCGTTCAAAAGAATTTTTAAATAAAATTAGTTATGCTGTTTCTCAATAAAATGCATTTTTTATAGGATATAGCTAAAAATCGTTTATTATCCAGTAAAATAAGGAATTTATCATATTACATATTTTAAGTAAACGTGTTTTTTATTAGGTGTGACCAAAACATTCAGTTTTAAACATAATCTGTCATAGTTCATGCAAAGAAAAGCAGATATAATTTAATCAAGTGCTATTGTAATAACAGTAAATACAACAAAAAATTGTTTTTCGTCAAAATTTCGTTGGAAATTTTCATGTTTTGACATCGACAGTGACACTTACCAACCATAAATTCCATGACAGGTGAAATTAGCGATTTATTATAATTCCAGTGGTTTAAATAGCAGAAACATGTCAATTTGTTGTTTGAAGTTGCTCACATTCGTTGTTGGCTACTCTAGTAACCTTCAAACATACACACATTTGAATCAAAGTTAAATTTAAATTTAATTTTTACTTGTCATATGCGACAAATGTTATAGAAGAATTTCAGAAGGGGCCCGAACTCTCCTCACTGCCTGTCTGTTTAAATTGATTACTACAATTAAAGTGCTACACAATAAACTAAATATCGGATATAGTTTCAAGCCTAATAATTCTAAGCAATGTCACTTAATTCGATAATTATCCTTTTGACATCTTGGCTTATTAATAAAATATGCAACTTTCTAATTAATTATTCTCAGAAACAAAATAATTGTAGATAGTAGGCGGAAATTTACCAACAAAAAACTCTAATGAGTGGGTGAAGTTTGTCCTGTGTACCTTTAATTAAAGGGTATTCGTGAATAATAGTTTTTTAATTTGTTAAATAATAATAAAAGAATACAAGCCTATAATTAGTAAGAAAAAATGCACCTTAATTTTTAAAGTTGTTTTAGTTTAGGGAGACATTTTTTGTTAGGTAGTAGGGTGTTCACAAATTCTTTAAGTGTCACCGCATTACAAAAAAAATCTGGGAATATTCACTTTCATTAAACGGTAAAAAAAAAATTTCCGGAAAAAGTAAGTATAAATATCTAATATATTTGTTTTTGATTTTCAGACTAATCGTGAGAATTATTTTCTCTTATCATCATGAAGAACGTGCATTTGTGGCCAAAAAGTAGCCAAATTTGCAAACAAATATTCTGTATGGTGTGGTGTGGTCTCGCAGTGATCATATTTGTGGTGTGCCATATTAATAATGACACAATTTTTTACAACTTAGGTCCTATTGTGGAAATTGTGCACATAATTTTGACAAAATGTGTAGCAATGTGCAAATCTTGTTACATCAAAAAATATGTGAAAGGGAAAATTAAGGTCAAAAGTAAGTTGTATCATTATCATGTTACACATTAAGCGGAATTGTAATCTGCCTTTCAGGTTTTTGGAAGTTTGTCGGTTTAGAAGAAAATATCATGAGATGAAAATATATCAAGAAAAAAATAAAATAAAATTTTTGTTTTGTATTTTCCGTTAAATATATATTTAGTGCTCTTATAGTGGTAAAATAAATTGTTGTTGTTCCAAATTTCCTCATTAAAAGATGTCGAAAGTGTATATTTTAAGGGAGCACGCGCAAAAATACGTGTCGATTTGTTTGAACTTATATAAGGTGACGACTAAACATTAAGTTATATATACATGAGGTAAGTAAGTACCTATTGTTAACTATTAGATATTTAGGGTTTTTTCTTTCATAACTAGGAGTGTTATTTCCTAATAATTAAAAGGAAACAACTAGAAACATGGATGACAAAGAATCATCATTCGACTGGAATGCTATTTTTAACCCAAATTTACGCGTGATGAGAAAATTGGGTCTATGGCCAGAGGGTAAAGCGTCCTATAAACTAGACCTTTACACGCTTTATGCCACCTTCATGGTAATATTGTTCGCTGCCTACCCCACATTTTCAGAATACGTCGCCATCTACTACGTCAAAGACTTGCAGTCGGTAGTTGCAATTATATTCGTATCTTTATTCGACCTTATGGGACCCATTAAAATTTACTTCATTATGAGAAAAACGTCCGTGATAAAAAAGTGCATGGAAAACTTCAAATCGGACTGGTTTCAGCCCAAAAATCAACTGCAGAAAATCAGAATTGAAGAAAACTTCAAGCTGTGGAAGTTTGTGTTTAAATTATTGTACACCTCTTGTTTTTCGTTGATCTTTTTC